CTGTCGAACTTTTTTCGCCTGCAGGATGATATATCGGTCATCCCCTGCAGTTGTCGTCCTCGGGCGGCCACACCAACCTTTCTAACAGCTGTACCTGTGGTTTGGAACGCTTTCCAAGCGCGCGGAACGACACTTTTGTTGATTCCGAACTCTGCAGCTACACTGGTGACAGTACGCCCCTCCTCCAGCTTTCCGATCATTCTTTCACGTGTGAAGTCATCCAGATGATTTCTTCTAGCCATATTTCACGAACTGACTCACTGGCACTTGCAGATAATATGGTGAATTGCGTCTCCGTCCTTCATTTCATTCTACTGTTGAGCAGCGCGCGCCGACATCACGCGTTTTGCGTTCGCTCACATCGCTTCTGACGTTTTGTTCCTGATATTTGCATACGCATGACGTTTCTACTGACTTACGTGTTCCCTCTACTGATCTCCAGACCTCCTTTTCTGCAATTTCATGGCTATCTGTTAAATTTTTACATTGTTGCTTAAGTTTTGCACACCAGTGTATATATCTTGCTCAAATAAAATACTTTTTATTCATCCACTCAAGTTCAAATGCATTTTTTTAAACTTGTAGTGGATGACACTTGTGATGTTAATAAAGTTTTTCAGGTATTAATTAATCAATTAAATAAATGAAAAAGAAACAAAAATAATAGTCCAACATCATATATAAAAGGAAAATCACACGTTGTGTCTCTGTAGAGCAATGGATAACGCGTTGGACTTCTAATCCAAAGGACATGCGTTCGAATCCCATGATTTCTCTTTTTCGATTTCTTTTTACTATGCTATTTTATTGCAATAATTCAATTTAATTAATGAATAAATAGTAACAAACAAAAATAATAGTCCAACACCCTATATAGAAAGTAAAATGGAAAACTGCAAGGAAAATCGCTTTCTATTTTGCCACTTAATACTGTGATTCTGTCATATGTATATACATATTTGTATTAATTATAATTATTTAATAAAAAGTAACTAAAATATAAAAATTTTCTTTGTTGACCTAAATGGGAATTGACTTAATTTTTTTTATATATATTACTTGTTGTTTTATTTTTAAAAAATGATTTTGATTATATATTTAAAAACAACATTATAAATGCATTAAGATACTTTTGGAAAAGTCTGGCTTATTTTATACATTTATTTTTGTTTCTTGTGTAATTTTTTATCTTTAAGTCAATTTTCTCGTAAACAGTATGTGATAACTCAAAACATTATGTTCTTGTATTTATATAAAACTTCGTAGAAATATTTTCATTCTGTTCTTGTGTGTTTGATCTAGGAGTTTTGAAATCTGTGATATATCTTAGAAGTGGAGTTTTTCATGTTTTAGTATATCAGAGAAGAGAAATTTTAACATAAAACACCGGTTATTACTTTGATATATATAGTAACTATGAAAATAATATGAATTCTTCTAAAATCCTTTTTCTGGCTCTGAAGAGAAGTCTTAGCTATATATAGGGAAAATATTATTTTATAGAAGCATTTTTCTTAAAAGGGGAAAATATTTTCAAATATTATTTCTTCACTTTTTGTCAAAAAAATGCATTTAAAACAAACTTTATAGTAATATTTTTTTGAAATTACTTTGTATGTATATTCTAATTTTGGTGGTATTGAATATGAAAAAAATGTCTTCATGTATACCTTAAAAACAAATGTATTTAGGGTACTTTTCCCTCAGTATTTACAAATACTTATATTTTAGCGCCACTATAATTCTTTATAAGCCACAAGTCTTTTACAAAAAGAATTTACTTCAAATAAAAGTACACTACTAGCCACACAAAATGCAACACCAAGAAGGACCAGAGATATCACAGTGAAATTTATTTGGCAGATAACATGCTGTACAAAGATCAAACGATTAAAATTATAGCCTCTTGCGACTTGAGGATGATGACAAAATAAGTAGTTAATGTACCGACATTGTTGGGTATAATCGCTGCCACACGCCGCGGTGGCCACGGTAGCCGAGTGGTATAGGTATCGGATCGTGGCTGGCTTTGTCACGAGTTCGAGCCCAGTACCTCTAAAGACCTGCCGCGATGCACGCTAAATCTGTCGAGAGCTGACACGTTCTCCCCTTGGTGTGGTGTGGTAGTTAGGAGAGAGGAGTGTCGTCCACGTCACTTGGCCATGGTTCAAAATTACGCGGTCCGTCGCGAAAAGCCCTCGTGTAGCTGAACAGTGAGACGTTAATATTAACTAACTAACTAGCCACACGCCGCGGCATAGAATCAAAGACTTTGGATGCATCCTTCGGGTACAGCAGTCTATGTGGCTTCCACATATTTCCAAAGTTATTCTGGTGTAGCAGCGTGGGGTGTATCCCTTTAAGACCCAACTCACATGATCGTTCGGGTTAGATATTCTTATACGTTTTTGCTTCTGGAAGAGTCGTATGGAAGAAAATCCCAAATCTAACGATGGAGCATGTTTGCAGAAAGTGTTATTACTTTTCATCAACAAACGGTGGTTGTAGTCCATGTTTTACTTTCAGTGGCAAATCGAATAGTACTAGCGGACCCCGAATGATGCGTAATAGATTGAATCTGTTGTGCTTTGGTTCGTGATGTGGCTGCGCGATCCATCACTACCATGCACACAATCCGTCTGTCATCACTGGCAGTGCTGCAACGAGAGGAGTGCAATCGGCCCCGCCGTTTCCTTCTACATCCAGTGATGACAGATCTGCATTGTTATTTGGTCTATCTGTACATCAGTTGCTTGGTTTCATCCAACACGTTGACCGATTTCTCCGAAGGATAATCCGCAATCCCTATAGGCTACTATTCTTCCTCGGTTGAATTCAGAAACTTGGTCAAAAAACGCTCGATGTCTTCTACGAGGCATAGATAAACAGCTTACGCAAAAGAACGCACGAAAAAACAATGCCATACTTCAGATCGCCTATCTGATCTCCCTTTATACTGCTCTTACGGGTGGAACTACGGTCGCCTGTGATGTGCGTCTGCGCTCTAATGCTAATGATTTACGTATTTCATTGCCTCAAAGGCATTATCTAAATTTCACATGGCTTACATGCTTCCTTTAGGATCTTTACATGCTTCCATTTTGTGTGGCAGTGTATTTAGATAGGCTATACAGAACAGTTGCAAAGTAAGTTTATTACAACCCAACAATGATATATTATTACTACTTTCTGGAATGTTCATTAAAAAAATGCTTTCTTTTCATTGCAATAAAGTGCAATTTCACAAAAGAGAAAAGAAAGAATCTCAAAAATTAATAGCTACCTTTGTTGCCTTTTCTTTTTTTAGTTTTTTCGGTATTTCCTTTCTTATAGAACCATTTTAATTTCTGAGGCAATTGTGTTTGAAATTATTTCACTTTCTTCCCAATTTGTTTTAAAATAGATTTAACTTAAATCACTAGTATATTTTTGAAAAAAGTTGTATTTTTCATTTTTGTCAAGATTTTTATACGGTTTTAAAGATTTTGGCGATAAATATCACAGATCAAGAAGTAATACTTTAATCACATTAAAATAATTGAAAAATACACATTTTCCTAAGAATTTTTCTTTCTTTCTCATATATGACCTCTTTTATTATAATACTCCTGATACCTAATATCCCATATGTAAATACATGTAAATAGATTTTAAACAATGCTAAAAAAAACACAATCGAATAATTTTTTTTTTTGAAAAAAGAACATAAAATAAGAAATACTGGAGTTATCTTAAATATTATATTCCATAATACTTAAAATTATTGAACCTAAAAGTAATTTAAATTATTATGAAGTTTTTACTGAAAAATGTATTTCTACATGCATAACACTAAAAATTGCTTAAATTATATTTGATATGAATTTTAATGAAAATACTTTGCTTTATTTTCACTTTATGTTTATTGCTTTTTATTTTATTGTTTTACATATTTATATTACTTTTATTTCTGATATGTCAGAAAACTGAATAAATTTGAAATTTACTTTCTCTAAAAGTTTTCAAGCTGAAGTAAAGGGATATCTGTCAAAAAATTATTTATGCAGTATACGCACCTCAATTTATTGTCTTCTACTTGTAGTATAAACTTTGATCAGCAGGACTGCACAAACTGTTTGGATCTTTTATGGAGCGGTGGTTTCAACGGAAACCACTCCTTCGTGAAAACTTATTTTCAAAAAAAAAGAAAGAAAAAAAAGTTAGCACATTTTATAAAACTTTTTTTTTGCACAATTTGCGAGAAAAGAGACAGGGATCTATTTCGAAAAAGCCGCTGTGAAATACTTTTAAAAGCAAAATAGGAGAATAGATACTTATTGAATATATTTTCTGTTGCAACGCTTACCCAAATATGATAAGAAATTCCTGTCTCATTATTTATTTTATTATTTTATTTATTTAGGTACACCACAAGCGTCCATTTTGGAAAAATTAGTTTCTGCTAAAATCACATTTTCAAGAAATGTTATTTTGTAAGGAAGTCTCTTCCTCTCTTCATAAAATTGCTATTTTCTTTTACTTTTTTTTTCCAAAAACTTTTGTAATGACAAATGTTTCTTTTAGCGCAATTAATATCCGATAAAAGTGTAAAGCATCAGTGCAAACAAATTAAGTAATTCTACAGTTATGTTTCAGGGGTTTTAGTGGGATATAGTAGGCCTTACATTTTTATATTTTATTTCAATTTCAGTATGGACTATTCTCTCAATGTAAATAATACATTCTAATACGAACGTTTAAAAGTTGATTTTGCCTTAATGAACAATTTCAGTGCCTTGACTCAATACCTCATTCCAGTTGTAGCGGGTTCTCACGCGTTCCTGTCCTTGCGATTAACCTCTTGATTTAGAATTTCTCCTTGTAAAGGAACTATGATATGAGTATGTATAAATTAGCATTGCTGTTTAAAGAGATCTGAAGTAATAATGTAGGAGAAAGGGAGAGATGGTGATTGTGTAAAGGGGGATAGAGAATTATATAGAGGATGTGTTGTAGAGTATTAAATGGTGTGGATCTATATACGCGAATTAGTTCCAGTCTTCTTAGAGAAGCAGATGACTGGATTCATCTAGGTGTTAGAGCCTGCGTGGCAGTGCCTCAAAGCTATATGTTGAAGATAAGTGAACATTTATAATTTTGGATAGGGTTCGATAATTACGTTCGATCCTATTGCGTATTTACAAATGAGATATCAAAAGTTAAGATTAGATTAAACGAAGTTGTCGATTTTTGCAGTGTCTGCTGATCATTCATCCCACACCGTTACTACCAACTCCGGTTCGTCTCACGCAACTTCTATTAATTACAAAATATATCTTTTTTACCTAAAAAAAATTGAATGATCTTAACGGATATTATTACACCAAATATATGTTTAATATAAGCATCCATAACTGTTTTCCATTTTACGAAAACCTTTTATAGTATAAGGCAGTGGTGAGCATTAAGTCGATCTTGATCGACCGGTGAACCATCAAGACATTTTGGGGTGACCGCCTTAACGAAGACCTAGAACGAATATCTTAAAAGAAGCATATTAATAGAACATTGACGCCAGCTAGATTGGAGAATCGGCTTTTCACAATCGAGGCGATTGTGTTTACTTAGCAGATGATTCGATGAATGTGTGGGCGACACATGTACCTTCATTGGAAGTGCACAAAGACGTTTAATCCATTCTTTAGTGGAAAAATGCGATCAGCGCGATGCCAGCCGTAGAAACTTTTTCCCCTCATGCCGAATGAAATGAAGAATAAACGTTAATGATAAGCTCTT